GTATTTGTATAAATGTATAAATGTATACTACAACGTTTCTGCAATCGAGTGTATATATATACACACATACTTTTTCAATGGTTATAAATTAGTTTTATTTTAGATATATATCTATAAAATAACCAAGATATAACGAACTCTGATTGGTCGAAATGCCATTTTAGATCAGAGGGAGTACTTAAAATACAAACGTCATTTATTTTTTCGTGCGCGCTCTGAATTTGCGCTTTCATACGAAAAATAAAACAGCAATTTTCTTTAATTTGTCCGCTACGCCTCGTGGTTTTCCGGCTACGCATCTATTGTTTTCTTAGAGTCCTGTGAATTTAGATCAGAGTATCTATAACTATAAACCTTTTATATATTTTTTTGCTATATATACATTTTCATGCTGAAGTGTTTATATATTTCGAAGATGTTTTCATTGGAAACCACGGCTGTTGTCATTCAATCTATTCATGCTTTGTAGGTGGAGTTCCTTAATGTTATCCCAAATGCCTCCCTTTGAAAAACCATACAATAGATGGCTTAACTCTTGGCCGTGTTTTTGTACAACTAGAGTGACTGAAAACCCGCCAAAGACTCATCAAGGGGTTTGTTTTAAAAACTGTAGGTTTACTGACAGGAAGAGAGGACAATGGGCGCCTGTATGCTCGGTATGTGAGATGCGAATTCATATACAGTTAAAGCAATCCTACTTGTCGCGCCTTTGCCGTACTCAGCATATGTTCTCTTCATTCAATACTTATTGTTCTGAAAATACTAGTGGTATTAGATGCACAATATAAGGCAGAAACATGTTCAAAACCAACATTTTTCGAGCAATTACCAGTGAAGCTTTTTTTAATGATTTTGAGAACTTTCTGTGTTGCTACAGCTTTGTCTCACTTTAAATTACCAGAGGTAAAGTGCACGTGAAAGATGTGTGTGTTTTGGCAGGGATTGCTTGTGTGCCTATATAATCATCTGACCAAATTAATGCTTAGGAAAGAATACTTAAATCCCAGAGCGGCTAACCTAAATAGCCAGTAAAATCGATAACTATTCCGGCCCATATGAGTATATTTGCTAAGCATTTTAATGACAATTGATAAGTTAAATTATAAAAACTAGATTTGATTTTATGCTAGCGGAATATCGAAAAACAGTATTATAGGGTTTCAAGTTTATTGGCAACAAACACAAGGTCATAATTGCCAGACCTATTTGTACGTATGCCATAAACACGTGTCCCATATTTGTACAATCTCATTCTGTCATCACAAACTCTTGGGTGGTAATGGGGCAATGGCTAAACATTAACTTACGATAACTAATATCAAAGAGTGTAAATATTTTTGAGCCTAGTGTTGCTTGAAATCTAATTTGTTTTTAATCTCTGGATGTACTATGTTGTCTTTGATGACTGGTGCTTCCTGAAGAACCTTCAAGTTAGCATTCCAAGAGTATGAAACAGTCGACCGGAAACAATAAATAACTCCGCTATGTTTTGATTGATAAGTTTAGAAGCAATCTGGTTGATAACATCTTAATTTTTCAGGCAAAAATCCCGTATATTTAGGTGATGAAATATAGAATAATTCAAATCACATCCAGTGAGATCTTCTTCGTGTACGCTTCGAAGTTTGTAATCTCTGAACATATTGCTCCTTCTGTCTTTGAAAGAAGAAATCTCCAGCCCCGTGTTTTAAAAGAAGTGCAGCGCATTCAGTCTTTCCTTGTCTTATCGCCGTGTTTAAAGGCGGCCAACCATCACTATCACAAACATTAATATCTGCCCCACTTTCGATCATTTTAGATAAGACTTGAATGTCTCCTTCAGCGACTACTTTGTGTAGGAAAGGCATGTCTTGATCCTTGTTGCTCTCATCGCCAGAGTTCGCTTTTCTTTCTGTCTCTTCTTCGCCGTCTTCTTCTTTTATTGTGCCAATGGCTCCATGTAAGTCTTCACATTCACTGATATCATCCAAAGATTTATCTTTGGCGAAAAAATGCTCTTGCAAGCTAATCTTTCTTCTTCGCTGCATGGTCAGACCGATTCCTGGTATTGTTGATAACTCTGGTACGCGCTCAGTAGTTAGTGATGGATTGTCAAAAGGTCTTAGCCAACAGAACCAAAACAAAAACACAGCCTGTGGCTTAAAAACCCTTTTTGAACCTTAATCCTTGTCAACAGGTTGACTTATAAAGCCCAAACAAGGTTGAACAGACCACAGCAGTACAGAGTCTACGGTAGTCGTAACCGCTCAGCTCGAAGGACCGGTAGTTAATTGTGGTGCTTACGTATCAGGGACGGCTTTGATGTATTGGTGTTAAATATTAATGATGCATGAAGTCCTAACCCACGAAACGTTCTAAACAGATTTCTTCGAGTCTCATACAAAACATATGACACAAATAATCTTTAAAGTGTGATCTTAGAGATAAAAAGATATCGTGGGATCGAAACTGCTATACCTTAAGACAGTTTTTTGGATGTTTCTAGTCGATCATGTGCTAAAATACTGTAATTTCCCTTGATGGATGTTGTAATTATTTCTTATTGTCCTCTTTTAAGGCCCACCAATAGCCTTCAAAACCTTGCCCGCCTACTTTCGTATCTGATCTTGCTTTTTGTTTATTTATGTTGCTATGGGAACAACGTCTGGCACAAAAAAAAARAAAAGAAAAGAAAATGGGTACAATATCAGGCATACACACGTGTGGAAACTCTTTCACGACTAGCACGAGACGGAATCGTAATTAGGCTTATTTTAAGAACTAGGATTACCGATTGTTGTTTTTGAGATTAGCAAGAACTATTTCTATGGAGTAATTTCATTAAGCAATGATTTTAGGATCACAAACTTGAATGAACGTCTAACCTCATTCAAATGGAGTTATATTTTCAAACAAAACAAAGTATCTCATAAGAAAAACATCTTCCACAAGGCAGCACTTGGCCTAAAGCTCTAAAAAAACATTTGAGTTGAATTATGTAAACTAATATGTTGGGGTAATTGTTGGAAATAAATTGGAAGTCGGATTCCAAGCCTTGTGTATTTAGTTACATGGTAAGCCGGAACTATGCTGTAAAGTTGTACGATTTTTCAGTCGTTTTAATTACAAGGTGGGTTTGATATGTTTTCATACACTCATTTATAACATACGGACTAATCTAGATTCCTATCAGATTCAGATACTTTCCAATAATTATATGTTTATTTTTGAGACTACAGACTTTCAATTCTTTGCACACAACGGATATTACAACATATAGCAATAAAAAAGTGAAATAAATATTTATAACGTTAAAGAAAGCTAGAATTAATAAAGAAAAAAGAAAGAAAGAGCATATGGATGTAACTGTTCTGGCCAAAAAAAGTGTAGACTTTTAATGGTATAGCTATAGTATGGCTAATGAGATAAATGTATGTTAATTAATACAAACATAAAGAGAAAGTAAATGAAAAGTAGACTAGATGAAGATACCCCCATTCCACCAACCCCACTGAAGCACAGTAACCGTATACGACTGGGCCATGCTAAGTACATGTGCAGTGGCGGATCCAGGGGGGTTGGAAGGGTTCCACGGAACCCCCCTTGAAGGTTTGATCTCTTAGGTAATAGAAATATGTCTTATATGAATTTTGCTTAAAAGTATCCACAAGGATAATGTTGAACACGAAATGATAAATATTTGCTGTTATAAAGTTTAATTTACCTTTAAGTACCGTTACTAGATAGTAAATTAGGTGATTAGAGCCAATTTTTTTGTCAGACATCGACTAGACAAAAGAGAATTATACACAGTTTAAGAAACGGAACCCCATTTTGAAAAATCCTGAATCCGCCACTGATGTACGTGTATTAACTATGACATCCACTGTGCCATACCCCCGAGACATCCGCAGAGTTGAGGCGGCGTATGGACCTGAAGGCAATTAAATTCAGTTCGAATTCTGCCCTTGGGTGTACGAATTATGCGAGAAAACGTTCTGGCCACCAGACCATCTACAGCTATTTAATCAATTTGATGTTAAAAGATCTAGTCTATCTGACACATTCTTTTCACGGCTATCATGATGATTTACCTGGAACCGTGGCCCAGTGGGGGAAAACGTTGGCTTCAATAACACCGAGTCAAGATTGGTTGAGCGAAGTTAGCCCTGAATGGGTGACCTGAAACTTATTCATCCCCTTATTAAAAAAAAAACTTTGCAGGGTTGTTTTTCTTTCCCGTAACTTTCAACCGTTTTAGTTTAGGTCGAGAAATACGTCGAAAATTAAAAACTGCCGAGCATTTGATTCCGTCAAAGGAAGTCGTTTGTTATTCGTAGTAACTCTTCTAATTAACTTGTAGTAACCAGGAGTATCCCTTTAATATTTGAACTCAGAATATAAAGCGAAGGCATTTAACCAGTGAAATAAAAAATACTAGTGAACGTGTAATAGTGTATTTTTTTTTTATTTTTTTATTATTTAATAGTCAAATAGACACAAAAGAAAACAATGTAATTAAGGTCTACTAAAGTGTATTAGTCTAACATCTATTTGGGGTTTAATTGTCTTCTACCACACCGGAACCGAGGAGTGTATCACACCTTATTTGTATTATTAGAGTGGTTTTCAAAAACCCGTGAAATACACTTTAGCGTATTACACTTTAATACACTTTACTGTCCGCATTTTCTTTTGATTTTCTTTTGTGTTTTTGGTGTATTACAATTTATTACACCTTAGTTATTACACTTTGTTTCACGGGTTTTGAAAACCACTCTATTATGTTCATGTTCAATACCTTGAATACTTTCTCATAACTTTGCCTTGGTGCATAGCCTTATCACACATATAGTCATTTATCTGCAGCTTATCGAAATCAAGAGATATTTTACAAAAACGGATTTCAACGATGTTCGTTTGTCGTTGCCAAGTCAACATACGCCGATCTAGCTGAAATTGACATTAATCGACATTTTCATCTAAGCCCGATAACTGGTGCAAAAGTGGTTTCCTTCAGCCTAGGGTAAATTTATCAATTCGCAAACTGAATAAAAAGTGGAAGCATGGTCACTCAATAACTACCTCGAGACACCTTAAATGGGATTTAGTCGAAGAACCACTAACTAAGTAAAGAAACCCTGAGAGTGACCCCGCACATTCAGTGCCTACACTTCGTACTAACCAGCTCTCAAGATTGTAAACTACATAAAAACCAATAAGAAATTCACAAATTAATGTAAAGCGCCCGTTTGATTATATCAATATATAAAGAGCGCTATATAAATCATAAATCATCATCGTGATCATGATCATGACCTGAATTACCATGTACGAACTCAAGGTCCGGCAAAATCGTTCTACGTGATGCCGCGCAATATTGGGTTTCAAAAACGTGTGACAATAGGCTTAAAACGTTTACACCCTAGTAATATGTAAACAAAACCTTAACAATTTAATTAGAATCAAAATGTCATTGACTGGATGGATCAACATAGGATCAAGATTTAATTGATCCTATTTTTGCTACTCCTCAGAAACTTAGTTGTCTCTCGAATTCAAAGCACGAAAGCTTTTGACGTGTCGCTTTAGTTTTCTAATAGCATATAGTTTTTTTCAAAAAAAGTTGTCAGTTGTCGCATGTTACATACCTCGCCCGAAATGATTATGCAACCAACGAAAAGTCACAAAGTCAACAATATGAAAAATTCCCAAACTTTGCCTGCACGTTTTTCCGGTATATTTTCTGTTGTGCTAGCATTGATTCAAATATATGGTAAACAACATGCAAAAATAACCTCCCTCAACCTTTTTTGAAATAGCTGTATGCGGCGTGCGTGCACACACATGTGCACTTTAAGTGTGTCGACGGGCTACCTGTGGTAAATGGAAGGAGAGAGTGTATTAAGGAAAGAGTCATTTTTATAGTTTATTTTTACCACAGGAACTTCATTAGATGAGAAAAACTTCTATTTCATATTGTATAAGAATGATTTGTGCTGATGAAGATATGTCAAGGGGCTGCTGTGGTTATTGCCTCAAAATAGCGACGACTTGCAATATAATAAATAGTCATCAATAAACAACCAGGAAACGAAAACAAAAATTAAGAAAGAAAAAAAGACGCATTGGTTGTGGGGATGACTGGGGCTTTTAATGAATATATACATTTATAAAATAAATTAAATAGTACGCACGCTGTGATTGGTTGATAGCCATGTTTGCATGAGGGTATGTAAACACAGTTGTGACGTCACAACTTTCGTGTTTTC